AGTTGATTTATAAATAATTTGTAAACCTAATTTGTTTACATACCGATTGTATAAAGCATACTACTCTTATCTAAAACGTTTAAGTGTCTTTGCTAACCGAAATAAATAAAATTAATGTATTATATTTATCTAGACATTTATTAAATAAAGCTATACAATTTCTTCCTCTATTTTATACTCTTCAGTATTCAGAATGTTCTAAATTTCTTGTTTTTTATAATGTTGTGATTTATTTGCTGTCATCGTTGTGATCTCAAAAAGTATATGTCAAAAATAATATTTATTTACATAAACACTATACTAATTGGTAAAATGTGGTTTACTTATAGACATGTGCTAGAAGTCTGAGATAAGTAATGAAAGATGTTTTACGTTAAACACAAATATTAAAAAATATATAGGTAATATATTCATATAAATTGTATCTTAACGAATGAATAAGTGCATGTTTTATTTAAATGTTTAATTAATGAGGTTAAGCATTTCTTAAAAAGTCTTTTTATAATTTTAACGCTTGATTCAACACTGCCATTCGAGTCCGGATGGAATGGTTCAACTGTTTATTGTCAATGTTATTGTGTTTAGAGCAATTTTGTAAAACACATGTTTATACTTTCTACACTGCATAAATTTGAATTTTTTTTCTCAAAGACTTGACGATTTGCAGTTATCTAATACTCAATGTTGTGTTCATAAACTATTTTTATAGTTGGGCCACTGAAGATAAGTTTTGAATTGTTATATATCCCCGACTTTCTTTTAAAGTTTTAAAAAGTTTGGTTTTTAAAATTATAATACTAAATAATGTATTTTCAAATTTTGATTGGTCGATAATCAGTTTTGAATAACTCTTTTTGAAGGTATTGAAGCTTCAAGTTTAGGGCAGAAGATAAGGTGGAGTGTAATTAATTTTATCTGCGCACATTTCCCAACCGCATTCTCTTCCTATCCTAACTTTAAAACTTTTACAAGTTTAAAAACACTAATCCAAAACTGGTTATCGACCAGTCAAAGTTTTTAGTACATTATTCTCAACATAAAAAGTTAATAAAATACATACGTTACCATTTAATTTTCAAAAGTTGCTATCGAAAAAACTAAGTTGGTAGGGAGAAAAAAAACTGTGAAAAATTAAGATCACATCGTAAAACAACAATATAAAAAAAAAATTATAATTTCTTATTAAACCCTATGAGATTTAGAGTGATTCATGATAAAAGAATCACCCTGAATGCCTTGTCAAAATTTGGTGACCAATTCATTGCGTAATAGAGAATAATACAATGGTTTTAATATGTCTGCTAACATTGGAACGAATTTAATGTAATAAGTTACTAAGGCCAAAAAATACTTAAACATTATTTTATTTCCTGATACAGAGGCCTTTACGATTGCGTTAGTATGTTTTGATAACATATATAAACCTTTTTCATCTATTCTAAGCCGTAAGTATTCGATTTTGTGTCCATATATTTTTTTACATTATAACGGGTTGTTTTTTAATAAGAAACTTATTCATCAATAGTTTTCTGACTTCTAGCTCTATATAATAATATATTTAATATTTTGGATTATTGTGTTCGAAAAATATTAGGAATATTTGCAATATTGGAAAAAAATTGTATACAACGTTAACCAAAATTGATTTTTTGCCAACGATATACTTTATCAAAAACATGAACGTTCTGTTTTTTACAAAAAACATTAACAACGTTAAGGCAAAAAAAATGTATTTTACTCCATAATATCTGTAATAACAAAATTTAGGTTGGACCAAGTTTTTTTTAAGTCAGTACAACAACAAAAAGTTTTATACCCTTAAATTTACCATATGCTTAGTTAGACCAACTTTGTATGTTTGGAAGATTTACTTATTTACTTAAATTTATAGGTATAGCAAGGTACATCCTGTGCCGATTTAATTTTGTTATTTGCACGGGTATCTTTATAAGAACCTTATTTATCAATGATTTTCTGACTTGAGCCTCTGTATAATAATATTTTAACATTTTGTAAACAATTTTATTTAGGTATTTCATCTATAATAGTATTGTGCCTTATAATTTTGGATTAGCCAATAGTTAGGCTAAAAAAAATCAATGCATATCCACGTTACACACGGATACATCAGCACATGTATATTACTTAATAAATTGGGTTCGAAAAATATCAGGAGTATTTGAAATATACAAGTATTTTTTAAAAAGCCACCTAAGTATAAATATTTTTTGCCAACGATATATTTTATCCGGCTCTAGTTTTCTTAGGAACATGAACGTTTTGTTATTTCACAAACAACATTGCCTTTTGCGTCATACTGTTTCTATATAGTTTGAATAACATTTGTTAAATATTGTATATTACATTCAATAAAATTGTTGTCGACTCATAAAAGCTTCGAAATTAAGTTACTCTAAAAATGATTTTCAAAAGGAAAACTAAAAACTAAAATTTTTTTAGGAAACAAAAGTGCCTTGATGAATCATCAAAATATAACATAAAACATATATTTGATATATTTTTACTAATGATTTGTATACCACTCTCCTACAATGAAACCCACCCACAGACACGGTGCTTGTAAATAAAGGGTGTTTACACATAAATCAAGTGATGAACATATTACATCGCTTGTTTAATAATAGGTTTGACCGTTTTTTTATTTCATATATAAACATTGATATTCGCATTAACCCGCCCGCTTCAAACGTTTGCGTTTAAGTTAATTCGGTTTCAACCGTAAAAAAGGGGCAAAATTTTTTGGTTATGTCATGATATATTTGAAAAAAATATCAATACGTGAATATTTACCATTCATGGTTAAATTAAAACAATCTGAAAATAAATATGGTTGTTTACCAACATATAAATTATATATTATAGCTGTGAAGTAGTAAGTCATTGGTTTTTGTAATTGGGTAATACTTAAAAATGAATGAAAACAGTAAAATAATATAGGTATTTGATGCATTGAGATAAATTGTTCATATTAAGGGTTGAATGACAAATTGAGAATAATGTACTAAAAACTTTGACTGGTCGCAATTTGGTGACCAGTTCCATTTAACATCAAATTATATAGTTTGAATAACATTTGTTATATTATATTTTACATTATATCAATTTAAATGTTATTTGACCCATAATAGTTCCCAAAATAATTAATTGTAAATGTTTTTAAAAACAATAATCCAACTTAATTATTGGGATAATATAGTAACACGATAAATTTCTAATTGGAAAGCTATCACGCTTGTTTTGTTATTGGGCCAAATTTGGTAGCCATATCTTGTCCATTCAGAACCCTGTTCTAGTGTCATTTTACCCCATTGTTTCTATAATGTTTTTTCTTATAAGCTTACAAAAGGGTGGTAGAACCCTTTTGTAAGCTAAGTTTCTCTTGCACCAGTTTTTGCTTTGAGCAATTTGATTAATAATCACCACTTCTTTTTTTATTTGGAATTAATAAATGGAAAATGGGTCTAGTAGGATGACCTAATAATAGCTGATCAGGCGATTCATGTGTGGTCTTATTTAGAGTGTTTCGATACAAAATCAAACATTTATAGGTCTTTCGGAAATAACCGCATAAATATAAATAGATATGCGTTAAAACCGCGCCAAGTTCATACGAAGATGGATGGACTATGTTCAACTAGTAATTTTTGGCCAAAATGTCCTAAAATACGGTTTAAACTGGAAGTCTTTTAGTTTGACCAACTTTGTATTTTTGAAAGAGTTAGTTATTTACTAAGATTTAAAGCTAACACAAGGTACATCCTGTGCCCAATATATTTTGTTATTTGAACGGGTTTCTTTATGAGAAACTTATTCATCAATTATTTTCTGATTTAAAGCTCTGTAAAATAATATATTTAATTTATTTGGTTCGAAAAATATCAGGAATATTTGAAATATTGGACAATATTGGAATTATTTTGTACAAAGCCAACAAAAATTGTTTTTTGAATATTCTAAGGTATATTTAAAATATACAACAAATATTTTTTACATACCTACCTAAGAATAAATGTTTTTTTGCCAACGATATATTTTATCCGGCTCTAGTGGGTTTTAGAAACATGAACGTTCTGTTATTTCACAAACAACATTGCCTATTGCGTCATACTTTAATAAAGCTGTTTCTATAGAGTTTGAATAACATTTATTAATATTGTATATTACATTCATTAACATTTTTTTCGACTCATAATAATTTCAAAATTAAGTTACTCTAAATAATTTTAATATATCAATTATATATTATAGCTGTGAAGTAGTAAATTATTCGAATTTATAATTGAGTAATACTGAAAAATGAATTAAAACAGTCAAATAATATAGGTATTTGATGCATTGAGATAAATTGTTCATATTAAGGGTTGAATGACAAATTGAGAATATTGTACTAAAATCATTGACTGGTCGATAATTAGTTTCGGATAACTATTTTTGAAGTTTAAGCAATATGAAAAAACAAATTAAAATTTATTATTAAACCCTATAAGATATTTAGTGGCTCATGATAAAAAAATCACCCTGTATAAATAACATTATATTTTTAACATGAAACTAGAACAGTGATAGGGAACCTAATAACATTTACATTGATAAGTGGTCTGTCAGGTGGCACTTTTTTACCAGTTGCATTTATAGTCCTAAAGCTACTTTGTGTGCTTAAATTTATAAACATCTATTACTGACATAAAATACGTATGTGTTCAGTACACCCTTATAAGAAATAACTTTAGCTTGATACTTTTAATTTTAATCATTTATATGATACATCCAATACCATTGTAAATATTCCAATTTTACTTGTAACACTCGACATATAATACTCATTTAGTCAATAGATAGATTATGTTTGTATCCTTCTGAAAAACAATGTTAACAGATGTTATAAAAATGGCTGGCTACAGTAAAATAAACATGAATACTGTTATAAATACATAAACCTAACCAATTTTCAGTGCTGTTCCTAATTTTTTTTTCTCTAGTTGTTTCTTAGTATTACAAGTATTTCACAGAAGATTAACGAAAAAATGATTTGGAAAATTATATTTTTGTTGTCGTGTTTTGACGTTTTAGTGAACGCTGGTCAACCTTCACCATTTTTTGAAGAACCTCCAAGCCGGGTAAACATAATCGACTAATGTTTTTTATTTCTTTTTTTTTGTTGTAAAACATATACTTTATGTTTTTCTTAACTCCACAAAATGTTTTGCGTTCTTAGAATAAGAAATTTAAGTAATTTTATCATACTATACAAATTATCTCAAACCTTTTTAAATGTAATAACATTTTAGGTGTAAATCTACTTCATTTCTTACTGATTTCGGGGCTGCATAAATGAAGAATTGCGTGTACTACCTATTGTGAGGCTAACCTAACCTAACGGCCCATCGTGTAGGTTTTTTTTCTACCTAGTTTAATAGTCTATACTCATAACAATATGTATAGTTTTCCAAAATGACCACTCCACATAGCTAAAAAAATCAATTATAACACTATTTTGGGATTTCTCTGAGGGTAATGTTACATTATTTGAAATTAATTCATATCGACTAAGTATACAAGAGATTAATTTTGCAGAATAATTTGCTGAACGTTATGACTCATCGATATCCATTTTTAAATAATTAATTTTAAAGTCGTTGTAGTTTAAAATTTAAGACTGCCAGTGAGGTGCAGTTAAGTAGGTATTTAATGCAGATAAAAACGATACTGCGCTCCCCACCTTCCGTTTTAAATTTCAAACTTGGATGCAACTTCTCCGTCCCCGCTGTGCCCTGATTTTTTTAAAAACTTATTTTACAAACTCAAAATAGATAAGAGAAAAATGTATTTGTGTTACATAAATTAAATTATCAAAAAACTGAAAACGTTACACCTGCATCGTAGGTAATGTTTTAGGAGAAATTTTAGGAATTAAGGTGTAAAAATTAGACTGCTGGTAAGGCAGGTAATTTTAGAATAGGGCTATAACATATTATACAAATTTCACAAAAATGCTTATTGAAACTATTGATTTATTAAGCAAAAACCATAAAAATAGAATATTGCTCTTTACTTTGAGATTATTCTCATAGTTCTTAACACTTTAAGTTTTTAAAGTTACAAATTAGTACGTAATAAATTAATATATTTTTTTTTTTTATTAGAAAAAAATAATCTGTACAAAATACGTTTACAATAAGTTTTTTTTTTTACATTTTATATTACATAGCATTAATAACGTTAAAGAAAGTCACCCAGTGGTAACACCTCACTAGTCTTATTATAGAAATTAATACCTACATTTAATGCTGAATCACATTTTAAAGATATGCCTACATAGATTATTTTAAAATTGATACATACTTAACTTTACTAAATGTTTAATTGCAAAACTATTCGCAATTATTGTTATAATAAATAATTTCTGTTATAAATAAGTACTTATTAAGTTATAAGCGTCAAGAGATCATGCAGAATTTAAAATATTTTTTATCCGTCCACATTTAGTCAGTATCTGTTTTTCAAATTAATTATTGTTTTATCTGTTTTTAGACCGTAGCAACGGTACCATTTCGAACATTACAAGAATGGGCACCAACCTTACAATTAACGCACATTACAAATTGGACTACTTTGCAACATGAACCTGATAATGATCAAAAAGTAATTTTTGCATAAAATATATTAATTAAAAACATGTCTGACCGTTTTTATTTTATAAGGATGCCGCAGAGTTCGCATTGAAATCGAGTAAATGTCCAACTAATATTATAGATATGCTTGTTTGGAGAAGTCAGATAAATCAATGGCCTGATCATTTAAAAAATACAGCTGGAACTGGCCCTAACATAGATAATATAAGAACCTTGACATGTAGACGTATTCCAGGAGCACCAATAGTATACGTGGGCTATCCTGACACATCTAACGATGTGGTGCCTCTGCCAGGAATTTTATTAATTTTGGAAAACATTATATGAATTGTGGATTCTAATTAAAATCGACCCAGCAAAATATAATAACACCATTCAAAAAATCATAAATTTAAAAAAATATATATACTGATAGTGAAAAAATCTAAATATTTTAAACAATAATTACATTTTAGTTGATTTATAAATGATTTTGTAAACATAATTTGCCTAAATACCTATTACGTAAAGCATAGTACGCTTTTCTAAAATGTTTAAGTGTCTTTGCTAACCGAATTAAATAAAATGAATGTATTGTATTGATTGAAACATTGATTTAATAAAGCTATAAAATTTCTTCCTCTATTTTATTTTATTTTATTTTATTCCTCTATTTTATACTCTTCAGTATTTAGGATGTTCTAAATTACTTGTTTTTTTTTTATAATGTGACAATTTATTCGCTCTCATCGTTGAGATCTCAAAAAGTATATGTCAAAAATAATATTTATTTACATAAACACTATACTAATTGGTAAAAATTGGCTTACTTATTGACATGTGCTAGAAGTCTGAGATAGGTAAACAAATTTTTATCTAATTACTTCAACTACAAATATGCATTGTACACCTAATTCTTGTAATAACTAAATTTTAGTTGGACCAAGTTTTTATTAAGTCAGTACAACTAGAAGTGTTTTAGTTTGACCAACTTTGTATTTTTGAAAGAGTTAGTTATTTACATAATATTTTAACATTTTAACTTATTTTGTTTGAAAAATATCAGGAATATTTTTAATATTGGACAATTATTTTATACAAAGCAAACAAGCATTGTTTTTTGCTAGCGAAATATTTTATCCGGCTCTGCTGTTTTTTAGAAACATGAACAATCTATTATTTTACAAATAACATAACCTTTTACGTCATACTTGAATACATCTGTTTTCATATAGGAATAACATTTGTTAAATAATGTACATTATATTAATTTAAATTTTGTTCGACTCATTATGGAATACAAAACAATTAATTGTGAGGGTTTTAAAAATAACTGATCATACTTAAACTTTGGGAAAATTTAGGGACATGATAAATTTCAAGTTGGCAAAACTAAATAAATTATTGGCCCAAATCCCAACTAAATGTTAAATTTGTAATCATTAATTCAACAAGTAGTTTTTTGTACCCCTAGAATAAACAAACTTTTAGTTCGACCAAGTTTTTATTAAGTCAGTTCAACAAGAAATGTTTTATACCCTTATATTGACCATAGTCTTGGTTGGCCCTACTTTGTATATTTGGAAAATTTAATTATTTACTTCGAAGGAATATTTGAAATATACGACAAGTATTTTTTACACGCTAACTATATATATATATATATACACATGTATGAGTTTTATTTATCGACATTACCTAACAGTTGTTATTGGAATGGCTGGCTACAGTAAAATAAACATGAAAGCTGTTATAAATACCTAAGACTAACAAATTTTCAGTGCCGTTTTTGTTTTTTTTGTCAAGTTGTTGCTTAATAATACAGGTATTTCACAGAAGATAAACGAAAAAAATGTTATGGAAAATTATATTTTTGTTGTCGTGTTTTAACGTTTTAGTGAACGCTACTGGAGGATGGTTCTCAAAATGGTTTTCAACACCTCCAAGCCAGGTATATAATATAATCGAGTAATGCTTATATCAATAGTATTGTATTTAGAGGAATTTTGCAAAACATATGTTATATACAAACATATAATATATGTTATATATAAACATATGTTATATACTTGCTACACTGCATACATTTGAAAGAGTTTTCTCAAAGTTCTGACGATTTGCTGTTATTTTATACTCAATGTTGTGTCCATAAGCTATTTTTATAGATGGGCCACTGAAGATAGGTACTTGATTATTTTATTCCCTCGACCTTTTTTTAAAGTTTTAAACAGTTTCATTTTTAAAATTATGACGCTAAGTAACCTATTTTAATATTTTACTTAATTATTTAATTAAACAACAAATAATTTCCTCTTTCTACAAAAACTTTGTTATTACTCTGATATAACAGATAACACAAAACATAAAATGAATAACAAAATTAATTTTATTATAAAACGTCACAATTAATTTGGTCGATGTGTCGGCGACCGCACGTCACGTATAGTAGACCTTTTCCTTATGAAAATCTTGACATACAATTTTTATAAATGATTATAAATACTCAATGAATAGAATATATACAAATAAACTAGTATTGTTTGAATATTTTAGATAAGGATGATTATGAAACTTATAGTTAACCGGTCATAGCGAAATTACTAATTTGTTGAAAAAAGTAAATGTTTACATAGTGTGTTTTTATTGTTTGAAGTAACAAGGAGAGAAACGCTGAATCGGTTTTTTGTCCTTACAGGTCTGTAGTAGTAGGCTGGACCAAGTTTTTATTAAGTCAGTACAACAATAAATGTTTTATACCCTTAAATTTACCATAGTCTTAATTGAACCAACTTTGTATATTTGGAAGATTTCCTTTTTACTTTAAGTTATAGATATCGCAAGGTACACCTTTTGTCCATTATATTTTGTTATTTGCACGGGTTTCTTTATAAGAATATTGTTCATCAATGATTTTCTGACTTGAGGCTTTGTATAATTTTATTTTAACATTTCGATTTATTTGGTTCAAAAAATATCAGAATTATTTGAAATATTGGACAATTATTTTATACAAAGCAAACAAGAATTGTTTTTTGCTAGCAAAGTATTTTATCCGGCACTGCTGTTTTTTTGAAACATGAACGTGCTGTTATTTTACAAGAAACATTGTCTTTTGCGTCATACTTTAATACACCTGTTTCTATATAGTTTGAATAACATTTGTTAAATAATGTACATTATATCAATTTAAATGTTATTCGACACATAATGGTTTCCAAAATTATTAATTGTAAATGTTTTTAAAAACATTGATCATCTTAAAATATGGGAAAATATAGAGACACGATAAATTTCTAGTTGGCAGATCTAAATAAATAATTGACCCAAGCCCCAACTAAATGTTATGGCGAAAATCTTTTTATTTAATTATTTTATATATTTTTCATTTTACCCCTTAATCCCTGTAATAACCAAATTTTGGTTCGTTCATGTTTTTATGAGGTCAGTACAACAAGAAAGGTTATATACCCTTCAATTGACCATACTCTTAGTTGGATCAACTTTGTATAACTGGAAAATTCACTTATTTTCATACATTTTTAGATATTACAAGCTAGTGCCAATTTTCCACATTGTTTCTATAATGTTTTCAGCTCCGATGCAGAGCTGCGAAAGTATTGGTTCTCTTCTGATGTGGGCTTTTTTTTTATCTGTATACACTGTAACTTTTTAAATACTGGACCAATTCCTTCGAGTAGCAACTTTATAAATCACATATTTTATCTAGTTGGTACTTGGGGGGGGGGGGGGGAAGTTATAAAAGTTTTTTTCTTCACAGTTAAAACTTGATAAAAACAATAAAAATACCATACGAGTTTTTAAGTTAAAACTATTACTGGCTATAATTTCGAGAGAAAGAGTCGGATCAAGTTGAAATTTATAAAGAATATTAACTTGGTATGCCCGCACACGTCAGTTGTATCAAATTTAAATTATACCCATTTCCCACGTCCTTGGGTGGTACAAGTTTTTTTTTTTTTTTAGTTTTTTCGCCGTAATTTTAAGACCTTCAAGTTGAAATGTTATCAGTAGTTAGAACTCATATGTATCCATAACATGTTAAACGGAAAAAAATTCGGCACTACAGTTTTTTTTAATTGCCGGAAAACTGCGTTTTCGCAGATTGCGTATATTTTAACAAAAAAACCCAAAATCTTAAAAAAAATTTATCAAATAAATACAACAATTCTATGCAAAATGATTCTATTAAGTTTTAATAATCAAGTACCACTTTTAGCTTTTACTTTTACTTTTATTTTTTTTTTTTTTTTACTTAAGTTTTTTTTTGGCTGAGTTAAAGTGAAAACTGATATTAAATTCGTAATCACCTCCCCAAAAACATATATTTTGACTATTATTTTACCCCTTAATCCATGTAATAGCCAACATTTAGTTGGCCCAAGTTTGTGTGTTTGGAAGATTTACTTATTTACTTAAAAGTATAGGTATCACAAGGTACATCTTGCGTCCATTTTATTTTGTTATTTGCACGGGTATCTTTATAAGAACCTTATTTATCAATGATTTTCTGGCTTGAGGCTCTGTATAATAATATTTTAACATTTTTAAATAAGTACAAAAAATTGTACTTAGGTATCTCATCTATAATAGTATTGTGCCTTATAATTCTGGATTAGCCAATAGTTAGGCTAAAAAAAATCAATGCATATCCACGTTACACACGGATACATCGGCACATGTAAATTACTTGTGTGATGGAAAAATGTTCAGAATTTTAAGGTTATTGGGGATGATCTTAAAAATTCGTTCATGAACATTATTATTATACAATATACACGGTATGAAAAAAAAAGATGTGTATTAGTATCCTAATATCTGTTGCCTATTGTTTGTTTCCAAACCGTTATATTCGTATTTAGGTCACCTTTATTTGTTTTAGTTTTACATGAAAACATGTAATTATTTGAACAATACACATGAAAAATATTTTTTTGCTTATTTACTACAGTTTAGATCTAAGATAAAATATGTACATAATTGGCCCAACTAAATGTTAACAGGAACAACTTTTTATTTAATTACTTCAACTACAAATCCATTATACCCCTAATTCTCGTAATAACTAAATTTTAGTTGGACCAAGTTTTTGTTAAGTCAGTATAACTAGAAGTTTATTATACCCTTAAATTGACCATAGTTTTAGTTGGGCCAACATTGTGTTTTAGAAAGAGTTAGTTATTTACTAAGATTTATAGCTAACACAAGGTACATCTTGTGCCTAATATATTTTGTTATTTGAACGGGTTTCTTTATAAGAAACTTATTCATCAATTATTTTCTGATTTATAGCTCTGTAAAATAATATATTTAATTTATTTGGTTCGAAAAATATCAGGAATATTTGAAATATTGGACAATATTGGAATTCTTTTGTACAAAGCCAACAAAAATTGTTTTTGAATATTCTAAGGTATATTTAAAATATACAACAAATATTTTTTACATACCTACCTAAGAATAAATGTTTTTTTGCCAACGATATATTTTATCCGGCTCTAGTGGGTTTTAGAAACTTGAACGTTCTGTTATTTCACAAACAACATTGCCTATTGCGTCATACTTTAATAAAGCTGTTTCTATAGAGTTTGAATAACATTTATTAATATTGTATATTACATTCATTAACATTTTTTTCGACTCATAATAATTTCAAAATTAAGTTACTCTAAATAATTTTAATATATCAATTATATATTATAGCTGTGAAGTAGTAAATTATTCGAATTTATAATTGAGTAATACTGAAAAATGAATGAAAACAGTAAAATAATATAGGTATTTGATGCATTGAGATAAATTGTTCATATTAAGGGTTGAATGACAAATTGAGAATAATGTACTAAAAACTTTGACTGGTCGATAATCAGTTTCGGATAACTATTTTTGAAGTTTAAGCAATATGAAAAAACAAATTTAAATTTATTTTTAAACCCTATAAGATATTTAGTGGCTCATGATAAAAAAATCACCCTGTATAAATAACATTATATTTTTAACATGAAACTAGAACAGTGATAGGGAACCTAATAACATTTACATTGATAAGTGGTCTGTCAGGTGGCACTTTTTTACCAGTTGCATTTATAGTCCTAAAGCTACTTTGTGTGCTTAAATTTATAAACATCTATTACTGACATAAAATACGTATGTGTTCAGTACACCCTTATAAGAAATAACTTTAGCTTGATACTTTTAATTTTAATCATTTATATGATACATCCAATACCATTGTAAATATTCCAATTTTACTTGTAACACTCGACATATAATACTCATTTAGTCAATAGATAGATTATGTTTGTATCCTTCTGAAAAACAATGTTAACAGATGTTATAAAAATGGCTGGCTACAGTAAAATAAACATAAATACTGTTATAAATACATAAACCTAACCAATTTTCAGTGCTGTTCCTAATTTTTTTTTCTCTAGTTGTTTCTTAGTATTACAAGTATTTCACAGAAGATTAACGAAAAAATGATTTGGAAAATTATATTTTTGTTGTCGTGTTTTGACGTTTTAGTGAACGCTGGTCAACCTTCACCATTTTTTGATGAACCTCCAAGCCGGGTAAACATAATCGACTAATGTTTTTTAATTCTTTTTTTTTGTTGTAAAACATATACTTTATGTTTTTCTTAACTCCACAAAATGTTTTGCGTTCTTAGAATAAGAAATTTAAGTAATTTTATCATACTATACAAATTATCTCAAACCTTTTTAAATGTAATAACATTTTGGGTGTAAATCTACTTCATTTCTTACTGATTTCGGGGCTGCAAAAATGAAGAATTGCGTGTACTACCTATTGTGAGGCTAACCTAACCTAACGGCCCATCGTGTAGGTTTTTTTTCTACCTAGTTTAATAGTCTATACTCATAACAATATGTATAGTTTTCCAAAATGACCACTCCACATAGCTAAAAAAATCAATTATAACACTATTTTGGGATTTCTCTGAGGGTAATGTTGAATTATTTGAAATAAATTCATATCGACTAAGTATACAAGAGATTAATTTTGCAGAATAATTTGCTGAACGTTATGACTCATCGATATCCATTTTTAAATAATTAATTTTAAAGTCGTTGTAGTTTAAAATTTAAGACTGCCAGTGAGGTGCAGTTAAGTAGGTATTTAATGCAGATAAAAACGATACTGCGCTCCCCACCTTCCGTTTTAAATTTCAAACTTGGATGCAACCTCTCCGTCCCCGCTGTGCCCTGATTTTTTTAAAAACTTATTTTACAAACTCAAAATAGATAAGAGAAAAATGTATTTGTGTTACATAGATTAAATTATCAAAAAACTGAAAACGTTACACCTGCATCGTAGGTAATGTTTTAGGAGAAATTTTAGGAATTAAGGTGTAAAAATTAGACTGCTGGTAAGGCAGGTAATTTTAGAATAGGGCTATAACATATTATACAAATTTCACAAAAATGCTTATTGAAACTATTGATTTATTAAGCAAAAACCATAAAAATAGAATATTGCTCTTTACTTTGAGATTATTCTCATAGTTCTTAACACAAGTTTTTAAAGTTACAAATTAGTAAGTAATAAATTAATATATTTTTTTTTTTTATTAGAAAAAAATAATCTGTACAAAATACGTTTACAATAAGTTTTTTTTTTTACATTTTATATTACATAGCATTAATAACGTTAAAGAAAGTCACCCAGTGGTAACACCTCACTAGTCTTATTATAGAAATTAATACCTACATTTAATGCTGAATCACATTTTAAAGATATGCCTACATAGATTATTTTAAAATTGATACATACTTAACTTTACTAAATGTTTAATTGCAAAACTATTCGCAATTATTGTTATAATAAATAATTTCTGTTATAAATAAGTACTTATTAAGTTATAAGCGTCAAGAGATCATGCAGAATTTAAAATATTTTTTATCCGTCCACATTTAGTCAGTATCTGTTTTTCAAGTTAATTATTGTTTTATCTGTTTTTAGACCGTAGCAACGGTACCATTTCGAACATTACAAGAATGGGCACCAACCTTACAATTAACGCACATTACAAATTGGACTACTCTGCAACATGAACCTGATAATGATCAAAAAGTAATTTTTGCATAAAATATATTAATTAAAAACATGTCTGACCGTTTTTATTTTATAAGGATGCCGCAGAGTTCGCATTGGAATCGAGTAAATGTCCAACTAATATTATGGATATGCTTGGTTTGAATAGTCATATAAGTCAATGGCCTGATCATTTAAAAAATACAGCCGGAACAGGCCCTAACATAGATAATATAAGAACCTTGACATGTAGACGTATTCCAGGAGCACCAATAGTATACGTGGGCTATCCTGACACATCTAACGATTTGGTGCCTCTGCCAGGAATTTTATTAATTTTGGAAAACATTATATGAATTGTGGATTCTAATTAAAATCGACCCAGCAAAATATAATAACACCATTCAAAAAATCATAAATTTAAAAAAATATATATACTGATAGTGAAAAAATCTAAATATTTTAAACAATAATTACATTTTAGTTGATTTATAAATGATTTTGTAAACATAATTTGCCTAAATACCTATTACGTAAAGCATAGTACGCTTATCTAAAATGTTTAAGTGTCTTTGCTAACCGAATTAAATAAAATGAATGTATTGTATTGATTGAAACATTGATTTAATAAAGCTATAAAATTCCTTCCTCTATTTTATTTTATTTTATTTTATTCCTCTATTTTATACTCTTCAGTATTTAGGATGTTCTAAATTACTTGTTTTTTTTTATAATGTGACAATTTATTCGCTCTCATCGTTGAGATCTCAAAAAGTATATGTCAAAAATAATATTTATTTACATAAACACTATACTAATTGGTAAAAATTGGCTTACTTATTGACATGTGCTAGAAGTCTGAGATAGGTAAACAAATTTTTATTTAATTACTTCAACTACAAATATGCATTGTACACCTAATTCTTGTAATAACTAAATTTTAGTTGGACCAAGTTTTTGTTAAGTCAGTACAACTAGAAGTGTTTTAGTTTGACCAACTTTGTATTTTTGAAAGAGTTAGTTATTTACATAATATTTTAACATTTTAACTTATTTTGTTTGAAAAATATCAGGAATATTTTTAATATTGGACAATTATTTTATACAAAGCAAACAAGCATTGTTTTTTGCTAGCGAAATATTTTATCCGGCTCTGCTGTTTTTGAGAAATATGAACAATCTATTATTTTACAAATTACATAACCTTTTACGTCATACTTGAATACATCTGTTTTCATATAGGAATAACATTTGTTAAATAATGTACATAATATCAATTTAAATTTTTTTCGACTCATTATGGAATACAAAACAATTAATTGTGAGGGTTTTAAAAATAACTGATCATACTTAAACTTTGGGAAAATTTAGGGACATGATAAATTTCAAGTTGGCAAAACTAAATAAATTATTGGCCCAAATCCCAACTAAATGTTAAATTTGTAATCATTAATTCAACAAGTAGTTTTTTGTACCCCTAGAATAAACAAACTTTTAGTTCGACCAAGTTTTTATTAAGTCAGTTCAACAAGAAATGTTTTATACCCTTATATTGACCATAGTCTTGGTTGGCCCTACTTTGTATATTTGGAAAATTTAATTATTTACTTCGAAGGAATATTTGAAATATACGACAAGTATTTTTTACACGCTAACTATAAATATTTTGTATATATATAGTTATTATATAGACATTACCTAACAGTTGTTATTGGAATGGCTGGCTACAGTAAAATAAACATGAAAGCTGTTATAAATACCTAAGACTAACAAATGTTCAGTGCCGTTTTTGTTTTTTTTGTCAAGTTGTTGCTTAATAATACAGGTATTTCACAGTAGATAAACGAAAAAAATGTTATGGAAAATTATATTTTTGTTGTCGTGTTTTAACGTTTTAGTGAACGCTACTGGAGGATGGTTCTCAAAATGGTTTTCAACACCTCCAAGCCAGGTATATAATATAATCGAGTAATGTCTTTTAATTATTTTTTTTAGTTGGTACAAAATAAATGTTAAGTTTATCATTACTCCACAAAATGTTTTGCGTTCTAATAATAAAAAATTTAAGTAATTTCATCACACTATACAAATTATCTCAAACATTTTCAAATGTAATCACATTTTAGGCGGAATTCTACTTTATTGGATACCATTTTTTTTTTAAATCGATAGAACAAAATGACAACTCCACATAGCTTGTAAAATCAATAATGACACTAATTTGGGATTTCTCTGCGGGTAATGTGATATTATTTAAAATGAATTCGTCTTATTTTTGCAGAGTAATTTGCTGAACGTGGTGAGTCACTAATAACCAGTTTTGGATAATTAATTTTTAAGTCATACATAATTAACTTTACTAAACGTTTAATTGTAAAACTATACGTTTATTATTGTTATAGTTAATAAAATTCTGTTATGAATATGTACTTATCAAGTACATAGCTGTATTTGGTATGATAAGAAGAAACTGTTCGATTTTCATGATCCACTTGCTCTCAAATGTCTATATACCTCACTAGTCCGTTCCTTATACGCTCTCTATTAATTTGGGACCACAACAATGGGGGACTTAATGATCAACTTGAAAAAGTACCAAATAAAGTCCTCAGATTTATATGTCATAAATGTAATTTTCCAAGAACTCCTCACACTCGCCACAATCATTTATTTTATATTCCACATTCTTCTAAAATGTATACGTCAAACGACCCAATTAATATTTTAATGTCTTCTGGAAATAGTCAATTATTTTAATATACATTGCATGTATGTATGTATTATTATTATTATTTAGAAGATAAAAACAAGAATACAGGCAGGCAATAGATGCTATTTTGGATTGAATAAGCTGTTTAAGTCAAGAATGTTGTCTAAGAGCCCAAAGGTACAACTGTATAGAACTCTTATTCGGCCAGTGGTGATGTATGGATGCGAAACTTGGACGCTTCATAAGATACAACAGAATAATCTCTTAGTACTTGAACGAAAAGTTTTGAGGTCGATTTTTGGCCCTTGCATAGATAGGAATACAGGAGAATGGAGAATCAGACATAATGTGGAGATCAGGGAGCTATATCAGAAACCAAACATAGTCGACGATATAAGAAAGAGGCGGCTTTTGGGCTGGCCACGCATGGCGAAAAGAGGGCGCCTTTATACACAAGGTACTATGTGGCTCTCCAGAAGGCGTAAGACCACATGGTAGAACAAGGTTGAGGTGGGAAGACCAGGTGTCAAAAAGATGTGGAGCGGGTTGAACCGGATGCTGATTGGCGTGTCCTAGCGGAGGATAGAGAGAGATGGCGTGGCATGTGTTTGTCAGTTTTGTCTTAAAGACCGTCCACTACGAAGAAGATATCTTATTATTTTAAATTATATTATACTGTTGTGATTTATACAAATATATTGTGAATTGGACATTTGTCCGTATTGATAAATAAATACTGCAGACTGTAAAATATTTTTCATCCGTCAGTATTTATTTTTCAAATTAATTATTGTTTATTTTTTTTTTTTTTAGACCGAAGAGCCGAATTTATTTCAACGTATTGAACAGTGGATAGAGTCACTAGAAGTGAAGGTCGTTAAATTTTGGGGTCCTTTGGCACGAAAACCTAACCAAGATCAAAAAGTAATTTTTGTATAAATTACATTATTCAAAAATATGTTTAACCGTTTTTTTTTTTTTAAAGAGAAAGGCAAAAGCCGCATTGGAGGATAGTAAATGTCCAACTGGTGCTGTGGACACTATACTTTTGAACAGTCATATACGTAACTGGCCTGAACAAATATTAAATACACGTAACGATGATTATGACTTAGAGAGTATTAAACAATTGATATGTAGACGTATTCCAGGATCACGAGTAGTATACGTGGCCCATTCTGATAACGATTTTGTGTCTCAGGCAGGAATTTTATTCATTTTCGAAAGCCTTGTATTCGAGGAACCGGTCCAACAGAATTTAATTTCGCCATTAATAAAACTTTAATTTTTAAATTATATATACCGATATTGAAAAAATATAAATATTTTTAACAATAATTACATTTTAGTTGATTTATAAATGATTTTGTAAACCTAATTTGTTTACAAACCAATTACATAAAGCATACTACGCTTATCTAAAACGTTTATTTGTGCTTGCTAATGGAATTAAATAAAATGAATAAATTATATTGATTTGGACATTGATTTAATAAAGCTATGTAATTCCTTCCTCTATTTTATTTTATTTTATTCTTCTATCTTATAATACTCTGCGTCGAGACGCATAAGCAATAGGACTTTCGGAACTATTAGGTATAAATATGCGATAAAACAATGCAATTCTAGGCGGAATTACTAAAAACAAAGTTGGCCCAACTAAATGTTTACTGGAGCAAATTTGATTTAGTCATTTCTTCTATAATACTTTTGTGCCTTTTTGTAACCATACTTTTGGTTGAATCAAATTTTTATCAAGTCAGTCCATCTAGACATTTATGTGCCCTTATATAAACCATAGTTTTAATTGGGCAAACTTTGAATAAATTAAGTTAATCATTAAGACAATATTAAAGTACTATTTTCTAGCTTACATATTTATGAAGTGATATGATATAATTTGATAGTTGATACAACGAAACTCTGATCGTGGAAAACAAACCCGTATGAAGTGTGTCAACAAGCCCCGGTCTCCTTTAAGTAATGACAGATGTTTATTGTTAAACACAAATATAAAAAAAATAAGTAATATATTCATACAAATTGTACTTAAATTAATGAATGAATACATGTTTATATCAATAGTATTGTATTTAGAGGAATGTTGCTTAAGTTATAGGCATCACAAGGTACATCATGTACCTATTACATTTTGTTGTTTGCTCGGGTTTTTTTATAAAAACATTATTTATCAATGATTTTCTGACTTGAGGCTCTGTATAATAATATTTTAACATTTTGATATATTTGATTCGAAAAATATCAGGAATATTTGAAATATTGGACAATTATTTTACACAAAGCCAACAAGCATTGTTTTTTGCTAGCGAAATATTTTATCCGGCTCTGGTGTTTTTTATAAACATGAACATTCTATTATTTTACAAATAACATTACATTATGCGTCATAAATAAATCTGTGTTTGTATAATTTTCATAACATTTGTTAAATAATGTATATTATATCCATTTAAATGTTATTCGACAGATAATATTTTCCAAATTTGTTAATTGTTAGTGTTTCAAAAAGGAAAACTAAAAATTACAATTATTTCTAAAAAAAATAGTGTTTTCTCCTTAATGAATCATCTGTCTAAAACATAAAATATTTATTTCGTATCTTTTTACTCTTAAACTATGGTAAATATAGGGAAACAATTTAAAGTCTCAAGTTTAAGGCAGAAGGAAAGATGGAGTGTAGTATCATTTTTTTCTGCGAGCATTTCCCAACCGCACTTCCTCTCCCTTCAGAACTCTACCTTTCCTCCTGCCATAAACTTGAAATTTCAATAACTTCAAAAATAGTTATTGAAAACCGGTTCTCGATCAGTCTAAATGTTTAGTACATTATTCTCAATTAAAAAAGTTAATTAAATATATGCGTTACCATTTAAGTTTTAAAAGTTGCTATCAAAAAAAACTAATTTGGGAGGGGGTAAAAACAAAAAAAATCGTGAAAATTTTCAATCACGCTGTATAAAAACAATATGAAAACCAAATATACATCTTGTACCATTTTATTCATTCCAATTTTACTTTTAACACTCGACATATAATACTCATTTAGTCAATACATAGTTTATGTTTTTATACTTCTGAAATACAATGTTAACGGATGTTATTAGAATAGCTGGTTAGTGGTTACAGTAAAATAAACATGAAAACTATTATAAATATCTAAAACTAACAAATGTTCAGTGCTGTTTCTGATTTTTTTTGTCAAGTTGTTTCTTAGTGTTACAGGTAGATTTTCACAGTAGATAAACGAAAAAATGAATTGGAAAATTATATTTGTGTTGCCATGTTTTACCGTTTTAGTAAACGCCGGTGGCGGTAACCCATCTAGTTCAAATTCCTCAAGCCAGGTAAATATAATCGATTAATGTCTTTTATATATTTTTTTTAGCAGGTACTGAATAAATAGTATGTTTATAATTATTCCAAAAAATGTTTTGCATTCTAAGAATAAACAATTTAAGTTATTTTATCATACTATACAAATTATCTCAAACATTTTAAAAAATGTAATAACATTTAGTTGTAAATCTACTTTATTGGATACCATTTTTTTTTTAAATCGATAGATCATTTCTTACTGATTTCGGGACTGCAAAAATGAATAATTGCGTGTACTACCTATAGTGAGGTAGTACACTAACTCACCTAACCGTCCATCGTGTAGGTTTTTTTTTACTTAATTGAATAGTCTATACTCGTACCAATATGTATAGTTTTCCAAAATGATAACTACACATAGCTTATTAAATCAATAATAACACTATTTTGTTTTATTTTTTATACACATTCATTCTAGTTTAAAATGTAAGACGGCTGACGGTGGGGTGCGGTTAAGTAGGTGTTTAATGCAGATACTACACTACCTACATCCCGTTTAAAATTGTAAATTTGATGACAACCTCCCCATCACTACAAGACCTCAAACCCACTGTGGCCTGATTTTTTTTTCAACATAAAAAAGAGAAAAAAATATCTGTGTTGCATAGATTGAATTATCAAAAAACCAAAAACGCTACACCGACATCGTAGGTAAAGTTTTAGGAGAAGTTTCAGAGCTTAAGATCTAAAAAATAGACTGAAAGTAATAAAAGAACGGAGCTATAACAAAATATGTTATTTTCTGAAAAATTTGTATTCAAACTATTAATTTATTAAGGAAAAACAATAAAAGTAGAAAATTACATTTAAATTGAAAATAGTCTCATAGTCCCTATAATCATAATAGTTATATAACTTTCAATCGTAATTCAAACCGACCTCTGACATCCTATTAAAATAATCCATCCCCACGTGATCCAACCCCTACTGTAATGAATAAGTGCTTATTAAGCTATCAGCGTTAAGAGAACATGCTGACTGTAAAAAACAATTTTCCGTCCGCACTTAGTCAGTATTTGTTTTTCTAATTCATTACCGTTTATTTTTTTTTTCAGAGTGAAGCACCGGATCTATTTAAATTTATTGGAGATTGGATAAATTCCTCAAGCCATTTTGGATTTACTGTAATTTTTTTTTTTTTCAAGTACATAATAAAAATTAGTTGGTACTAGTTTAATACACTCTAAATTAACACTGGATCACATTTTAAAGATACGCCTATAAGAATTATTTTAAAGTTGATGCAAACTTAACTTTCTTAAATGTTAAAATATAAAACTATACGTTTACTTATCAAGTTTTTAACGTTAAGAGAACATGCAGACTGTAAAATATTTTTTATCCGGCCATACTTAGTCAGTGTTTAATTTTCAAATTAATTAATTTTTTTTTTAGACCGAACCACCGGTAACATTTAAGCGTGTTGAAGTTTGGACAAATTCACTAGAAGTAAAAACCATTACAGATTGGACTACTTTGACACAAAATCCTAATGATGATCAAATAGTAATTTTGGTATAAAATACATCATTTAAAAACATGTTTAACCGTTTTATTTTTTTTTTTAAGAGTTCCACAAGGGATGCTTTGACTAAGAGTGGATGTCCAAGTGGTATTGTGGATATTCTTCTTTATAACAGTGATTTACGTAACTGGACAAATCATTTAAAAAATAGACGTAATGATGGTTATGACATAGATAATATGAAAAAATTGACATGTAGAAGTATTCCAGGAGCACCAGTAGTATACGTGGCCCGTTCTGATAACGAATTGGTGCCACCGACAGGACTATTATTCATTTTCGATAGCCTTGTACTCGAGGAACCGGTCCAGCAGAATTCAATTTCGCCATTAAAAAAAACAAAAATTAAAAAATATATATACCGATATTGAAAAAAATCTAAACGTTTTAAACAATAATTACATTTTAGTTGATTTATAAATGATTTTGTAAACCTAATTTGCTTACATACCTATTACATAAATTATACTACACTTATCTAAAACTTTTAATTGTCTTTGCTAACCGAATTAAATAAAATGAATGTATTATATTGATTGACATTGATTTAATAAAGCTATACAATTTCTTCCTCTATTTTATTTTATTCTTCTATTTTATAATACTCTTCAGTATTTAGAATGTTCTAAACTACTTGTTTTTTATAACAGGGAGATTTATTTCACTCACTGTTGAGTTCACAAAATGTATTTGTCAAAAATAATATTTATTTACATAAACCCTATACTAGTTTGTAAAAAGCTGTTTACTTATTGACATGTGCTAGAAGTCAGAGATAAGTGATGACGGATGAGTTTTGTTAAATACAAATATTAAAAAAAATATGGCTAACTATGTTTATAGATGGGCTACTGAAGATGAGTTCATCTGTTAAATATATAAAATAAGCAAATAAATATTGTGATTTATTTGCTGTCATCTTTGTGATCTCAAATAGTGCATGTCAAAAATAATATTTATTTACATATACATAACATAACTAATTGGTAGAAAGTGGCTTACATAATGGCATGTGCTAGAAATTTGAGATAAGTAATGACAGATGTTTCATGTTAAACACAAATATAAAAAAATCACTTTTAAATAAACGCTTCGATACCAATCTGGGGATAGTATGTTCAAACCAGTTATAGCGGTTTAGAAGATATTGTGGGACCACTAGTACTATGTTTGAAGAACAATTCATATAAATTTGGATCATTTTTGACTATTTTTAAAAAAGTTATGGAGCATCGTAATTTTAAGTTAAAAAATTTGTAAATTGTTTAGAAGCTTTCTCAATTTTAATGGGGAAGGGGAGACTTTTTTTAATTTTTAACATGGTTAAGTACCTTTCAGATATGATTTCTGCTCCATAGAGTTGCTACACAAAAAAATCGGTTAAGCGGTTTACGAGATATCGTGGGTCCAGACACAAAAATAAAAAATAAAAACACATAATTGTAAAAACAATACCTTGTCGGCTCCGCATCGAAGCTAAAAAATATATAAGTAATATATTTATATACATTTTGTTTGGACGATAATCAGTTATGGATAATTATTTTTGAAGATATTGAAGTTTCAAGTTTAGAGCAAGAGGAATGGTGAAGTGTAATTTTTTTCTGCGCGCATTTCCCAACCGCACTTCCCCTCCCATCCTAACTTTAAAACGTTTATAAATTTAAAAATAGTTATCCAAAACTGGTTATCGACCAGTCAACGTTTTTAGTATATTATTCTCAATGTAAAAAGTTAATAAAATACAAATGTTACCATTCAAAATTCAAAAGTTGCTGTCAAAACAAGTTGGGAGTAGGGGAAAAACAATAAAAATGGTAAAAATTAAAATCACATTATATCAAAATAACGTGAAAAAAAAATTGTAATTTCTTATAAAACCCTATGAGATATAGAGTGGTTCATTTTAAAGAATCACCCTGTATGCCTTGTCACAATTAGATGACCAATTCATTGCGTAATATAGAATAATATAATGGTTTTAATATGTCTGCTACTAATATACGTAAGTTACTAAGGCCAAAAAAGACTTAAGCATTATATTATTTTCTGATACAGAGGCCTTTACGATTGCGTTAGTAAGTTTTGATACCGTATGTAAGCCATTTTCATCTATTCTAAGCAGTAAGTTTTATTTTTGTGTCCTTATATTTTTTGACATTATAACAGGTTGCATAAAAATTATTTTTCAACGATTTTCTGACGTGAGGTTCGGAATACTAAAATATTTAACAATTTGAAATTTTTTTTTCGAAAAATTTGGAATATTCGATATATTGACCATTTATTTTATATAAAGCAGAAAATGTTTTTTGGTAGCGAAATATTTTATCCGGCTCTGCTGTTTATTAGAAACATGAACGTTGTGTTATTTTACAAATAACATTGTCTTTTGCGTCATACTTTAATACATCTGTTTTTATAAAGGAATAACATTTGTTAAATAATGTACATTATATCAATTTGAATTTTGTTCGACTCATTATGGTTTACAAAACAATTAATTGTAAATGTATTTTATACATTGATCCTACTTAAACTTTGGGATAATATAAGGACAAGATAAATCTCTAGTTGAAAAAACTAAATAAATAATTGGCGCAAGTTCCAACTAAATGTTAAATTTGTATTCAATATTTCAACTAGTAGTTTTTTGTACCCCTAGAATAACCAAACTTTTAGTTCGACCAAGTTTTTATTAAGTCAGTTCAAAAAGAAATATTTTATACCCTTATATTGACCATAGTCTTGGTTGGACCTACTTTGTATATTTGGAAGATTTACTTATTTACTTAAATTTATAGGTATCACAACGTACAACTTGTGCACATTATGTTTTGTTATTTGCACGAGTTTCCTTATTAGAAACTTATTTACTATTGATTTTCTAAATTGAGGCTCTGTATAATAATATTTTAACATTTTAACTTATTTTGTTCGAAAAATATCAGGAATATTTAAAATATTGGACAATTATTTTATTCAAAGCAAACAAGAATTGTTTTTTGCTGGCGAAATATTTTATCCGGTTCTGCTGTTTTTTAGAAACATGAACAATCTATTGTTTTACAAATAACATTGCCTTTTGCGTCATACTTTAATACATCTGTTTTCATATAGGAATAATATTTGCTTAATAATGTACATTATATCAATTTAAATTTTGTTCGACTCATTATGGCTTACAAAACAATTAATTTTTAAGGATTTAAAAAAAAAACTGATCCTACTTAAACTATGGGAAAATTAAGGGACATGATAAATTTCTAATAGGAAAAACTAAATAAATAATTGACCCAAGTTCCAACTAAATGTTAAATTTGTATTAAGTAAATATGTTCAATAACATTGGTCCTACATAAACGTCGAGATTATAAAAGAACACGATAAATTTCTAGTTTAATCCCTGTGTTAACCAAATTTTAGTTGGACCAAGTATAAGTCAGTACAACAAGACGTGTATTATACATTTATGTATTTAGTTTTAATAATTACTGTGAATTTATGATACACCTTATATCATTGTATACATTACAATTTTACATTTAACACTCGACATATAATACTCAATTTATCAATACATAGATTATGTTTGTATCCTTCTGTAAAACAATGTTAACAGATGTTAGTAGAATAACTGGCTTCAGTAAAACAAACATGAAAGTTGTTATAAATACCCAAAACTAACAAATGTTCAGTGCTGTTTCTGATTTTTATTTTTCAAGTTGTTTCTTAGTAATTCAGGTATTTCAGAGTAGCTAAACGAAAAAATGATTTGGAAAATTATAATTTTGTTGTTGTGTTTTAACGTTTTAGTGAATACTTCTTCTTCTCCTTCTGCCTCTTCTTCTGGATGTTTACCACTCGGTCCTTGTGTAAACATTTTGAACGCGGTAAATATAATCGAGTAATGTCGTTTAGTTATTTTTTTTTTTTTAGTAGGTATAAAAATTAATTTAGGTTTTTCAAAATTGCACAAAATGTTTTGCACTCATAGAATAAAAAATTTAAGTAATCATACTATACATATTTTCTCAACAAATGTCAAATTTAATAAAATGTTGTGTATAAATCTTCTTTATTGGATATCTTTTTTTTTTTAAATCGATACCTAGTACTTTTTATGTTGATTTCGGAACTGCATAAAGAAATGACTGCGCGTACTACCTATAGTGAGTTTACATGATAATTTATATTATGTCGTCTCGCATTCCCCCGCCTGTCGTATAAGTTTTTTTTCTACCTATTTAATTTTAAACTTGGTTGTCACCTCCCCGACCGCGCTGTGCCCTATTTTTTCCTAACGATTTTACAAACTCAAAATAGAGAAGAGAAAAAATATATGTGTTACATAGATCAAATTATCAAAAAACTAAAAATGCTACACCTACATCGTAGGTACAGTTTTAGGAGAAGTTTCAGGAATTAAGATGTAAAAAATAGGCTGAAGGTAATTTTAGAATAGGGCTATTACATATTATGCAAATTTCTTAAAAATTCGTATTCAAACTATTGATTTATCAGGGAAAAACAATAAAAGTAGAAAAGTGCACATTAACTTTTATTTATTCTCATATTTTTTAAAATTTTAGTTATTATACCACTTTTAGTTGTAATAATTCTTTTACATCTCTGTCCCAACCCCACGGTTTTGGCTTATTTTTTGTTACATACGAACGAGTACAGCCATATGGAAAATAATGTAACTGTTTTTTTTTTGTTTTTAAGTACATAATACAAATTAGTAGGTTTACATTAATACATTTTAATCTAACGCTGAATCACGTTTCAATGATATGCCTACATTTATTTTTTTTAACTTGATACATAACTACTTAACTTTATTAAACGTTTAATTGCAAAACTATACGTTAATTATTGTTATGATACATTAACTTTGTTATGGATAAGTATGTATTTATCAAGTTCGTAGCGTCAAGAGATCATGCAGACTGTAAAATATGTTTTATTCGTCTACAATTGGTCAGTATTTGTTATTCAAATGAATTACAGTTTAATTTTTTTTTAGATCGCAATAAATAAACCACCGAAATTAAAATATTCACGTACTGAAGATTGGATAGCTTCACTAAAAATTCAGGAGATTACAGATTGGACTAATTTGATAATGGAACCTACTGAAGAACAAATAGTAATTTTTGTATAAAATACATTATTTGAAAACATGTTAAACCGTTTTTATTTTTTAAGAAAAAAACAAAGAAAAGATTAGAAAGCAGTGGATGTCCAAGTGGAGCTTCGGGTGTTATTTCTATGAACAGTCAATTTTGTAACTGGCCTAATCATATAAAAAATACACGTCAAGATAATTATGACATAAATGCTTTAAAAAACTTGACATGTAGACGTATTCCAGAAAAACCAATATTATACGTGGGCAATTCTGATAACCGTTCGGTGGCTATCCCAGGAATTGTATTCACTTTCGCAAGCCTTGAACCATATGTGGAACCTGCTTCCACCAGTAGGCCCACCATAGAATAATTTCAATATTCAAAAGTCCATTAATTTTAAAATATATAAACTGATGTAAAAAAATCTAAACATTTTAAAGAATATTTAAATTTTAGTTCATTTATATAAGAAAGAATATTTATATTCGGTTTGTAAACCGAATTTATTTACATACCTATTACATAAATTATACTACACTTATCTAAAACTTGTAATTGTCTTTGCTAACCGAATTAAATAAAATTAGTGTATTATATTGATTGACATTGATTTAATAAAGCTATACCATTTCTTCCTCTATTTTATTTTATTCATCTGTTAAATATAAAAAATAAGCAAATAAATATTGTGATTTATTTGCTGTCATCGTTGTGATATCAAAAAGGACATGTCAAAAATAATATTTATTTACATAAACCCTATACTAATTGGTAGAAAGTGGTTTACTTAATGGCATGTGGTAGAAGTCTGAGATAAGTAATGACAGATGTTTCATGTTAAACACAAATATAAAAAAAAAAATCACTTTTAAATAAACGCTTCGAACAATTAAACTGTGAATAATTAAGATCACATTATATCACAATAACGTGAAAAAAAAATTTTTAATTTCTTATAAAACCCTATGAGATATAGAGTGGTTCATTTTAAAGAATCACCCTGTATGCCTTGTCACAATTGGATGACCAATTCATTGCGTAATAGAGAATAATATAATGGTTTTAATATGTGTGCTACTAATTTACGTAAGTTAATAAGGCCAAAAAAGACTTAAGCATTATATTATTTTCTGATACAGAGGCATTTACGATTGCGTTAGTAAGTTTTGATATCGTGTGTAAGCCATTTTCATCTATTCTAAGCAGTAAGTTTTATTTTTGTGTCCTTATATTTTTTGACATTATAACAGGTTGCATAAAAATTATTTTTCAACGATTTTCTGACGTGAGGTTCGGAATACTAAAATATTTAACAATTTGAAATATTTTTTTCGAAAAATTTAGAATATTCGATTTATTGACCATTTATTTTACATAAAGCAGAAAATGTTTTTTGCTAGCGAAATATTTTATCCGGCTCTGCTGTTTTTTAGAAACATGAACAATCTTATTTATTATTTTACAAGTAAAATTGCCTTTTGCGTCATACTTTAATACATCTGTTTTTATATAGGAATAACATTTGTTTAATAATGTACATTATATCAATTTAAATTTTGTTCGACTCATAATGGTTACAAAACAATTAATTGTGAGGGTTTTAAAAATAACTGATCATACTTAAACTTTGGGAAAATTTAGGGACAAGATAAATTTCTAGTAGGAAAAACTAAATAAATAATTGGCGCAAGTTCCAACTAAATGTTAAATTTGTATTCATTATTTTAACAAGTAATTTTTTGTACCCCTAGAATAACCAAACTTTTAATTCGACCAAATTTTTATAAAGTCAGTTTTATTAGGTCAGTTCAACAAGAAATGTTTTATACCCTTATATTGACCATAGTCTTGGTTGGACCTACTTTGTATATTTGGAAGATTTACTTATTTACTTAAATTTTTAGGTATCACAAGGTACATCTTGTGCTCATTATATTTTGTTATTTGCACGGGTTTCCTTATAAGAAACTTTTTCACTATTGATTTTCTAAATTGTGGCTCTGTATACTATTATTTTAACATTTTAATTTATTTTGTTCGAAAAATATCAGGAATATTTAAAATATTGGACAATTATTTTATACAAAGCAAACAAGAATTATTTTTTGCTAGCTAAATATCTTATCCGGCTTTGCTGTTTTTTAGAAACGTCAACAATCTATTGTTTTACAAATAACATTGCCTTTTGCGTCATACTTTAATACATCTGTTTTTATATAGGAATAACATTAGATAAATAATGTACATTATATCAATTTAAATTTTGTTCGACTCATTATGGTTTACAAAACAATTAAATGTAATGGTTTTAAAAATAATTGATCATACTTTAAAATTTAGGGACATGATAAATTTCTAGTTGGCAAAACTAAATAAATTATTAGCCCAAGTTCCAACTAAATGTTAAATTTGTATTCATTATTTCAACGAGTAGTTTTTTGTACCCCTTGAATAAACAAATTTTTAGTTCGACTAAGTTTTAATTAAGTCAGTTCAACAAGAAATATTTTATATTCTTACATTGGCCATGTTCTTAGTTGGAAAAACATTTTATAATTGGAAAATTTACTTATTTATTTAAATTAAAAGGTATCACAAGGTACATCTTGTGCCATTATACTTTGTTATTTGCACGGGTTTCCTTATAAGAAACTTATTCACTATTGATTTTTTGACTTGAGGCTTTGTAGAACATTATTTTAACATTTTAATTTATTTTGTTCGAAAAATATCAGGAATATTAAAAATATTAGACAATTATTTTATACAAAGCAAACAAGAATTGTTTTTTAGAAACATGAACAATCTTTTATTTTACAAATAACATTGCCTTTTGCGTCATACTTCTATACATCTGTTTTTATATAGGAATAACATTTGTTAAATAATGTACATTATATCAATTTAAATTTTGTTCGACTAATAATGGTTTACAAAACAATTAATTGCAAGGGTTTTAAAAATAATTGATCATACTTAAACTTTGGGAAAATTTAGGGACAAGATAAATTTCTAGTAGGAAAAACTAAATAAATAATTGGCGCAAATTCCAACTAAATGTTAAATTTGTATTCATTATTTTAACAAGTAATTTTTTGTACCCCTAGAATAACCAAATTTTTAATTCGACCAAATTTTTATAAAGTCAGTTTTATTAGGTCAGTTCAACAAGAAATGTTTTATACCCTTATATTGACCATAGTCTTGGTTGGACCTACTTTGTATATTTGGAAGATTTACTTATTTACTTAAATTTTTAGGTATCACAAGGTACATCTTGTGCTCATTATATTTTGTTATTTGCACGGGTTTCCTTATAAGAAACTTTTTCACTATTGATTTTCTAAATTGTGGCTCTGTATAATACTATTTTAACATTTTAATTTATTTTGTTCGAAAAATATCAGGAATATTTAAAATATTGGACAATTATTTTATACAAAGCACACAAGAATTATTTTTTGCTAGCTAAATATTTTATCCGGCTTTGCTGTTTTTTAAAAACATCAACAATCTATTGTTTTACAAATAACATTGCCTTTTGCGTCATACTTTAATACATCTGTTTTTATATAGGAATAACATTTGTTAAATAATGTACATTATATCAATTTAAAATTTGTTCGATTCATTATAGTTTACAAAACAATTAAAAGTAAATGCATTTAAAACATTGATCCTACTTAAACTTTGGGATAATATAAGGACAAGATAAATTTCTAGTTGGAAAAACTAAATAAATAATTGGCGCAAGTTCCAACTAAATGTTAAATTTGTATTCATTATTTCAACGGGTAGTTTTTTGTACCCCTAGAAGAACCAAACTTTTAATTCGACCAAATTTTTATTAAGTCAGTTCAACAAGAAATGTTTTATACCCTTAATACACATAAAATTACACTAGATCAGGGTTCTGAATGGATAAGATATGACGTCCAAATTTAGGCCCCATATCAGAACAAACTATCATTATCTCCTATAGGTAATAATAATGATAAAACTTACATAGGATTAAATATACCAGTCAGCAATACTACTAAACAGAAGAATCCCACCTATGAGGAAAAAAAACCGATTCAGCGATTCTCTCAAATTTTCCTGATAATTTTTCGAAGCAAAAAAATCAACATGTTAAAATATTATTACACAGAGCCTCAAGTCAGAAGATCATTGATGAATAAGATTCTTATAAAGAAACCCGTTCAAATAACCTAATAAATTGGGCACAAGATGTATATTGTGATAACTATTAATTAAAGTAAATAAGCAAATCTTCTAATTATACAAAGTTGGTCCAACTAAAACTATGATTAATTTAAGGGGACAAAATATTTAAATTATATGAAATATATTTTATGTTAAACATAACCAGCATATTTATTAATGATAAACACTATTTTTTTTTTTGAAATAATTGTAGCTCTTAGTTTTCCTTTTTAAAAACATTTACAATTAATTAGTTTGTAAAATATTATTTTAATATCAGTAATATATTTTAAAATATAGGACAATTGTTTTATACAACTCTAACCAAAACTATTTATTGCTATCGAAATATTTTATACGGTTCACATGTTTTTTAGCCTTATGAGTCATACTTGAAGAAAATTGTTTCTAAATAGTTTTAATAACACTCTTTAAATAATGTATATTAAATCCATTTAAATGTTATCCGCCATACTGGTACTCAGTATAAGTTTCTTTGGAAGATGTACTAGTTTACTTAAATTTATAGGTATCATAATATACATCTTGTGCCCAATATATTAGGTTATTTGAACGGGTTTCCTTATAAGAAACTTATTCACTATTGATTTTCTAAATAGAGCCTCTGTATAATAACATTTTAACATTTTGATTTATTTTGTTCGAAAAATATCAAGAATATTTAAAATATTGGACAATTATTTTATACAAAGCAAAAAAGAATTGTTTTTTGCTAGCGAAATATTTTATCCGGTTCTGCTGTTTTTTAGAAACATGAACAATCTATTATTTAACAAATAACATTGCCTTTTGCGTCATACTTTAATACATCTGTTTTTATATAGGAATAACATTAGATAAATAATGTACATTATATCAATTTAAATTTTGTTCGACTCATTATGGTTTACAAAACAATTAATTGTAAGGGTTTTAAAAATAATTGATCATACTTTAAAATTTAGGGACATGATAAATTTCTAGTAGGAAAAACTAAATAAATAATTGGCCCAAGTTCCAACTAAATGTTAAATTTGTATTAAGTAAATATGTTCAATAACATTGGTCCTACATAAACTTCGAGATTATATAAGAACACGATAAATTTCTAGTTGAAAGATCTAAATAATGAATTGACCCAAGCCCCAACCAAATTTTAACAGGAAAATGTTGTTATTTAATAATTTTAACTAAAAATTCATTTTACTCCTTAAATCCCTGTAATAACCAAATTTTAGTTGGACCAAGTATTTATAAGTCAGTACAACAAGACGTGTATTATACATTTATGTATTTATTTTTAATAATTACTGTGAATTTATGATACACCTTATATCATTGTATACATTACAATT